ATCAGTCATCAGGCTGAGGAGACGACGTACGCAGTTGTACATGGAAATGGCTGCATATCAGGCATGGCAGTGGATGGAAAAGGATGGGAGGGGCCAGTCGATTAGGAGTAAGTAAGAGGAGAATGGTAGTTAATGGGGAGACCCAAAAAAAAAAAAAATAAACACCCTTAATTGGAGAGGCACACATGGATGGATGCAGCCAGATGGTGTTTTGTACTCATTTGTCATACACTGATGACAAAGAGAAAGGAGGGAGCAAGCAAGAAAAATGGAAAGAAAAAAAAAAAAACCAAACAAAAAGCCGGCTAGCTTTTATCGATTGCAAAGTTGGTACAGAACTAGAACAGACACTGTTTAAATCTGGCTCTGCTTGTTCTACATCATCTTTCCTCTCATCTTCCAAGTGGTTCTGATTGTACTGCGATTGTAGCGCTCTGCCAGGCCGGATGCATACTAGCAAGTGCAGACACAACACCCCACAGATTGCCAAACTTGGCTTTCAATAAGGCCCATCTGTCTGGTTTATTTTATTTATTTATTTATTACAAAAAATACCTACACTATACGCTATACGGAAAAGTGAGAGAGGGAGAGAGTGAGGAAAACCATTGAGGGGTAGAGAGATGGAAACTCAAGAGAGAAAGAGACGGAAACTAGGACAAAGTGTCATAAGGTTTGCCCAAAAGAGAAATCTAGTCAATGGCTAAAAAGATTGCATCAAGGTTGGTGAGCAGAACATGGCAACTGATGTCTTTCTTTTTTGCTTTGGCTGCCAAAATATTTGTCAAAGCAGAAAAAAGGAGAGCACGAAACAAAACCCATATTTTGGTATCTTGGTTTTCATGGACCAAAACTGAAGAAAAATGTTTGAATCACAACAAGAGATTGTTGGGACTGGGCCAGAACTAGAAATAACTCGCTGCAAATGTTGCTTTGCACTGCGTCAGATTAGTGCAGTGCTCGGCATGCCTTGGAGTTCCTTTGATATAGTGAAACCCCATCATTTTTATAATGATAAATTTCATAACTTTGCAGCAGCCCAAACACTAACACTTCAAAGGTCAAAGTCATTGTAATCTGATGGCCGCCTCACACTGGAAGGATTTAAAAAAAAAAAATGTTAGAGAAAGAAAAATAGCCAACGACTTTGCCGGCTAAGAAAAGTACTCCTTGATTTATGTGAAAAAGAAATACTGCTCCTGTGTGTCAGCACTAGTGTCCAGAAGCTAAATGTAAACAAGTTAAGCTCTGACATGTTTATATTAAGGGAAGCATCTTAAGGGTGAGCTGAGGACAAGGCCTGTGTCTGGTCTCAGATGGCCTTGTCCAATTGTCTGCCTGTCTGTCATTTTCCCCCATTAGCTCTTCAAAGGTGCTGTGACCTGAGAGGACAAATGAGAATTTATTATATCCACAACATTGTCCAGTGCATGCACCTGTCACTCACACTCACATTAATGAGCACATGGGCATAACGCACAGACGGACACGTCCACCAGCACACAGTATGGCCTGTCATGAATCTCACGTTTGTCAGAGTGTTCCTACTGGAAGTAGAGGGCTGCGGCTGCAGGGTGGCCATCGGGCAAAGATTTAAAAGACTGCTAGAGTTCAAATGTTAAAAAAAAAAGAAATGCTCAGCCATTGGCTAAAATAATACATACAGGTGGAAAAAGGTTTACGAGGTCCTTGACTGACGGTGTTTCATGGTCATGTCGCAATCTGTGGCTAAAATAATACATACAGGTGGAAATAGGTTTACGAGGTCCTTGACTGATGGTGTTTCATGGTCATGTTGCAATCTGCCATGGATTTATTAATAAAGTCTTGTTCCATCATTTCAATGTATGTGTTTAAATTATTATCTATTAACTATTATTGCACAGGAACTAGTTTTTCAAGCGAAGCAAACAGAAGGAGGCTTTGTTTACATTTGCCGGTTTTACGCCACATATTGAATTTCATTACGGTTCCCAGGCCCAAGTCAGACTCTTCTGATGTCTCTATGTCCTAGATTATGATGTTACCGTAATATAGGTACGTATGTACAGTATGAGCTTATGGTAAAAAAAATCAAGTTAAATCGCATTGTAGGAACGAAACTCCAACGGAAGTCGAGGAACTCGCTGTATTATGCTAATCGTTAAGCACTAAAATAATGCAAAAATAAACAAAAATCAACATGCATGCAGCACAGTTGTACAGCATATACACTACTCTTTCAAAGTTGACCTGGGTCTGCTGTCAATCAACAGTCAGTAGTTTCTCTAACACACACACACACACACGCACAAACGAGTCACTGCTGCCGTACAGCCAGACTGGAGACAGAAACAGGAAGTAGGATGAGGCAGGTTTATGCATTCAGCTCTGGAAGCATCTGAGTGAAGGTTAGCTGAAGTGCAGTGGGCCTCTACAGCATGGTTTCTTTTGAGGGGCCTTAACAGGAGGGCTCCAAGGGATAAGGAGTGTGTTTTGGTCGGTGCGTCTGTCTATGTGCATGCATGTGGAAACCTTTTTTTTTTTCGTGAGATTGCATGTGTGTAAATGTGTGTATTATAGAGCGCCGGTGTGTGCCGGTGTGTGCTGGTGTGTGCGTATGAAGGTTAGGATCAGCGGAGTAAATCCACACTTGAAAGGCTGGCTCAATCAAACTCTCCCACCCATCTCTCCCGGCCTCCCTCTGTCTCTCTCATCTCCACCGTGTTCTTCAGCTCCAAGTTCATTCAGAGTTGAAGAGTTCATAGCACTGGGTATAAATGAGAGCTACACAGGGCAAAGAGGAACAAGTGTTCATATTTAACATTTAACAACCCGTTGCCATTGTCTAGTTGTTAATCAATGCCATGAGTATGATGAAGTGTAAACTGGGTCGACCTAAAATATTCAACAAAGACTTAAACTTCAGTCTTTTTTTATTGTCGACATTTAAAACACTGAAATTAAACAGTTTGAATAACTCCACTGGGATTTAGACCAAGTAACTATTTAGTCAAATAACTAAGACCGAAACAAAAATGGCTGTTAAAATGAATACTGGTATAGTGAAACTATTGACCTTGACTACATTACAGTCTATTCATGGATTCAATTATTTTGCATCCCAAAATGAACAAAGAAGCACAGTGAAGAAAACTGCATGTCTAAGTACATGTATCTAAGTTGGTTTTGTTTTAGTTCATATTCGAAGTGAACTGGACTGATACCTGATACTGCTCTGTGTCTACAGTTGGCCTTTTTGCGTCACGGCGTATTTATCTTTTCTGGTGAAACACAGGGTTTTCAATGGGATCACAGAGTCTAATTTACCGTGAGTTCACCACATGATTATTTGGAAGGCTGTTCATAGCTGTCATTGCAAACCTTTTAATTTAGCTTCATCAACACACACTCAACCACATAACCAGAGGTTGTTCTTCTCCTTTATTTATGTCTGACGCTTGGATTTCAGAGACAAGCACAGTGAATTTTTTGAGAATTTAACTTCAGCCTCCAGTTTTTTGAGAAAAATGTTGTTTTTAATTAATATTTACGAGACAATGCTTTGTGTTCAGACCACTGTGTGCTGTGCTATGTCCATTTCTGAATATGTTTTGGTTCAGCACAGTGGTCATGACCCAAAATGATGAACAGATAAAAATATTGTAGACAAGTTCGTCTAACTTTACATGTGATCATGGAAAATAAAATGCACTAAAAATGTCTTTGAGGTTGCAAGAAACTATTAATGCCAATATGGGGTCACAAGCCAAAAAATGTTTAGCAGATTAAAGACATCAGGCAGGGTCTTAAAAAAGGTTACGAGGATTTGACTAATAAATGTGTCTGTCAATTATTTTATGAATTAACCCAGGGACGATGATTTCTCAAGAAATCAGATTACTTATCGGTTCATTTGATCAAGCTAAAACAGACAATTTTGTGATGAGTGTGATTTTCATTAGATTTAAATTAACAAAGATGCTTTGCTTAAAGGAAAAGTTGCCTCCCGTGACTGCAATGGGCCATTAATGCCATAAAAATCTCATCTTTGAATTTAGAGTAGGCTGAAACGTGTGAGCCAGACTTCATTAGGTTCTCAAAAAGGCTAAGAGCTGATTTCTTCTGATACAAAAAAGAGGATCTCCTATCTAACTACCTACAGGTTTCTTATACAGACCCAGCAGATCACATCTAATACCCTCATTAGGCTGTGAAATTAAGAAAACTAATTAATTGCAGAGAGCTGTCAGGACTAAAACAAGACGAGGGAAAATTATGAGAGAATTCACACAGAGACGTGAAACATTCCTGCACTCGGAAACCATCGTTAGGAATAACAAACGAGACTGAACCAGGTCCAAGTCTTCCACGGGACACAGAGAATGGCTGTACTAGGTCTTACTGAAGTAATTCAGAAGAACAGAACATCACAAATCAGTACTGTGGACCATATCAGCCTATAGTTTCATCTGTCGTCTGAGAAATCTGAGATTGTGTTCTTTTTTTATACACATTGAGTTTTTTAATCATCCTACTATTATTATTTTTCTGATTTGACTTTATATATAGATATAGGGTATACATTAACACATGTACATTGTATTAGCTGCACTACAAAACATCTGGTTTCCTCTTGAAGATATGCAAAACAAGTACCATTTCTTCTCAGTATTTTTACATCTGCCAATATATTACAATTTACCAACGAAGGCATATAATACTGTGTAATATTGCATGCCTGCTGCTCTCGTGTTTGTTGATGACCAAACCCTGTGGATTGCCATCTGACCACAAATCACTATGATCACCTGTTTCTGCTCACCACATCACTACAGCCATCTCACAGAAATTGCAAATCGTCTGCCAAAACCAACAGGCTGATATCACCGTTTGCACAGTAAACCAGGAAGCTAAAGCTGGCGGCGGTGGATGTCATGCAGTGACATCAACTGCCACCGCGTGCCCAAAAGGTCCTGCTGTGGTGCATATAACACGAATGAACATGATCAAATACTCACAGCAGGTACGAGGAGCTTCTTGACCTCCTCTACTGCTCTCCTCATCTTGATCTCAGCCCTGGCCTGTGTGTCTTCCACTGTAATCAGGACATGGAGGTCTTCATTTAGGTGTTCCCAGTTTGGCTTCCCTCTGTTTTGCTCCTCCTGGAAAGGAAGGGAAAGAATGAGACAGATAGTGAGGGAATGTAACAATGTGGGCGTGCTGTATTACACACGCTTTAATATATCACATAAAACAAAGGGAAGCTTAAGGAAAAGGCCCAGGGGATTATATGAAGAGGTCAGTGGAGAGGGAATGACAGGAATAACCCTTTAGTCGTATATTTAGCACCAACTATGAAAGCTTCCTTTATTAGGCACTTAGATTCACAGAGGAAAATTTGACACCTTTTCAGCAGCAAGTATAGTTCACTGTGGCTGTATGAGGTGACATGTTTGACCACCTTTAAGAGTTCATTATAATCTACAGTAGCCCAGCTCTATAACGAGGGCTAGAATCTGACGATATCATACGTATCACTATATATGGGAAACAATAAAGTATAACTATAGGTCAAAAGTTTAAATGCAACACAATAATGAACCAGCATCATAATTATTTGCATGTTAATTGTTAAAAAAAATGGAGAATGTCAGTGCATTGATATTTTTATTTCATTTAATTTAGTGTCCGACGCCCAAGATGTCTGACAAATACAGCTGGTGACTCCAGATAAACATGAACTGTCCCTACAGTGTTAAGTTAAATGAGAATAATTGAAGGTGATAGAGAACTGTGGATTGGGATCTTCCAGTGCACTTCTTCTTCTTATAAATACCCTCGGGCTCAGTGTCAAGGTGGACTAGTCTGTGCCTGTGTTTCCGACTCGCATTTGGGTTGACAATACTGTCTGCAGTAACAATAGCTCTCTGAGGAAGCTGGGGTTTTTTTTCTCTTCCTGAAAAGGCAGCACCAAAGCTCTCTCCAGGTCTCAGATCGTAGCAATAGAACTGAGTCATTGGCAAAATGAGCTGAAATGAAAAACCAACTGTGGCTGCTGAACAGGCTTTTAATGGTTTAAATGTGAAACATTTCAAGTTCTGAATTGAAGAGGCAGAGTTAACAAAAAGGCTTAACTTCATTTTAAAACATTCACATTATTTCCAGCATTTTGTCCAAAAAACATAACTACTATCTTGTGACCGTGGCTGCTTATTTGGAAAATTGGTAGAAACATTAGGGCGGGGCTGTTGACAGTGTGACGACCCAGAGCTCTTCAGGGTAGGCGCTACGTAAGGAAAAAGAAATGCTTGCGATTCGTCCAAGTGCCAACCATCAGTTCAGGTTTTAGAGAAGAGTGGATAATTCAAACAATAATATTAACAAAGTTAATTTGCGTCAGTTCTTTTTTATGCTTCACAAACCCCAGAGTATATGATGACTTTGGAGAACATAGGTCTTCAGCTGCATTTTCTAAAGACTTGTTCACAACTCAAATCTTTTGTGAGAGACGGGAATTATGCAGAGAAACAAAATATCAACTCAAATCTTTTGTGAGAGACGGGATTTATGCAGAGAAAAAAAAACAAATATGACAGGTGCTGTACTAGACAGAAAATGTGCTTTAACATTAAGAATAACTATTTTTTTGCATTTTCTTTTTATCCTGCGCAACACTGAGACCAATGTAAAAAGCTTTTGAAGTTTGCATCCTG